ATAAGATGAACCGAATCAATGAAACGGTCTGCCTGATTGTAACAAATTGACATTTATCAAAATATTGATTTGCATTGTCGTCATAAATTATTTGTCTCTCCAACGTTGTGGACGGTCAAATGAAGCTTGCCAGCAAGGTCACCGTACTGACCCAATTTTAAATACTCAATATTTGAACTTAATACAATATTAAAAAGTGATATATGACGTTGTGCCTTCTGTTAAGTATTATTAAGCACTACATTACCGTCGTCTTCTTACCGTATCGATGGCAAAAACTATATTACTTGCCATTTTACATACAAAGGGCGAGATCTCAATGCGAGAATAGGAGTATCTCGCGCGTAATGTCGCTCTCGCGCTAATCTCGCCGTCGTGCTAGCCCTACAAACAAAGATTGTCGTGCACTCGGCGTAAAGCAACTAAAACAAAAGAATATCACGTAGTGGAGAAGTGCATCTGCAAAAGAACCGCCTTTATAACGGTAGACATGTTTCCTGGACACAACTGGCCCACGTGATGTTAAAAAATTTTTCTAATATTTTAGAAACTTTTACAGATGCGGGCACAAGAACTTATAGTTCTATCGCAATCGGATGAATAATAATGGAACACACACGGCACAAACACAAGAAAACCATGCCAAATCCCTGGTCTTTAACTTTACAATCTTATGCATGAGATCCAGAGAAACGGAGTTATTCGAGAACATTACCTAGAACATCAAGGATTCAAAATATTCGTTTCCTAAATTGGTCTTGTCCAAAATTTGGTGTCAAGATTCCTGATCTAGAGCGCAGGGTGCCAACCACCGGGTCACCTATGGTTTTCTTAGAATCGATCTCACATGCCTATATGCATTCCACAATAACTAAACTTAAACACTGTTTAATATATTAGTTAGTCATTGGTAAAACACTATATACGTTTTATAACAAAATACTGGAAATATACAAACTTTATCAGAAAATATTTCAAAACACATGTTAAAAACGTACTATTAAAAGTTTATTTAAAAAAAATCTATGATAATGTACACGATACGAACGCATCATTTACGTGGTATTTCCAGCTATTAAAAGTTTGTGATAATATTTAAAAAAATGTTTTTCTCAAGTGAATTTGACCTACGAATGAGTAATGGTTTGGTGGTGGTATCGATGTCACGGTTTCAAGTGATTACCTACGAAATAAAGATATTACAGTTGATTTGATACTTTCAGCTTAACTAAGATCGACCTTTGACCTTATATTCAAACATGCACGAATAGCATGTCTATACTTGAATGCGTATATTCTCCCCATTCCGTTTTCATTTCCTCGTACTAAATCCATCAATCACATAGCCACGGTAGAGGTTAAACTGTACCGCTTTTATTTTCTGCGCTATTAATCTCATATAGTTTTTTTCCTGCTAGCGTTCATCGGCCGATAGCAATGCGGATTCTCTCGTGCGATGTCTACATTAAATGTCGTCTCGTAATTGTAACGTCTAGCAGATACGTGTGAATCAGACTGTGAGATCGACACGCGATGTTTGAAAAAAAACAAACAACGCACTACTACACCAGTTAAATTTGTTCTTTTTCTTACCACTATTTACCAGAACGTATCTTTAGGAAACGCTGCGAACATTTGCGTGTTATACTTTTACTTTTTGTTATACTTTTCACTCACAAGGTGGGCCGATGACCTGATGAATGTTGCGGCAATCCGCTGGATGAAGGCAGCGCAAGAACGGTCGTAGTGGCGATCTTTGGAGTAGGCCTAGGTCCTACTGGACATCAGTCGATGACGATGTTGATGATGATACTTTTCACGTATAAGTCTTTACATGCGTTTCAATTTTTTTTAAACCTCTGACGCAAAAAGAAGGAAGCTGTGCTGGTGAAATTACAGGCACATGGGACTTGTCAACTTATGTCTCAGGGTGACGGGCGCAGTGGAAGAGCCCATAAGATCTTTGCGATTTAAAGCTCTGAATGGCACTGCAACTGTTATGAATAGGCGTGTCGCTTACCACCAGGCGCACGATTTGTTCGTTCTGTCAATTGCTATTATAGAAAAAAAGTTATAAGTTTGAAGCCTTTGTCTGTGTTTCTGTGTGTCTGTGACATCGTAGCTTCCAAACGGATGCATTTATTCCCAGTGGATGGCTTGTCTCAAACCGGTTTTTTTTATTTGAAGGCTAATTTAATCATGATGGTGTTAGCTATGACAGCCAAATGACTCCACTAGATGTTGAATAAAAAGCGGGCTCTTAGAACCTAGTGCGTTGAAATAATCACTGCTGTAGCCTCCTCCTCCATCTGACTCTTTGTATAAGCGATAGCCTACGCTATGAACATTTTTGGACTAAAAATTTAATGTAACTCCGCAAACAAGATGACGTTCGAAGAAAACTTCCGTTCGTAAATACAGAAACGAAAGAAAACTGTTGTGAGCCAACTGTATCAAATTCCTGTATTTAACTGTATCTAGCAAGACTTCCAAAACATTCCAGATAAGATCGCGCTCTTAAGAGTTTTGCATTTATCTCGTGAAATTACTCTGTTGTACAAACTTGGCTCTGGACTTAATCTAAAATTTTCGTGGTACTGCGGAGTAGATCAAAATGTCTGCAATCTTAATTTCTCTGACATAATAAGCTTTTTTCTTTGGAAATCGGTATGTTCTTACGAAATGTATTTTATGTAAGTTGAAAATTTGACAGTGACTTGACGCAATCACTCGCTGGTTTTATCTTTCGCATGTTCTGATATTGTTTAAGAAATTCACGAATTCGATATAAATTTCCAATACAAATAAGGTTCCAGCAGATGCTACTTTAACTATAAAAACATCGGAAAGTTCGTAAACTTTATTAAAATATTCAAGTTGGGATTTACTTCGACAAACTTTGGAAGATATGAACATTTTCAAGAAGAGAATTACACTGCCCTACGCCAGCTGTGTATTTTAGTTAAATTACAAAATAACACAGAGATTGGTATATTGAAAGTTTGTTGGAACTCCAGGACTTCAGCATTTCTTTTTTTAGTAGCAGTAGAGCTCCTTGTGAATGAGTTCGTTCAGGGAAATACTGCCACCTGGCTTATTTCTGCCGCCAAGCAGTAATGTCAGCATTTGTGTTCCGATTTTGAAGGGTAAGGGTGCTGGTGAAATTACAGGCAAATGGGACATGTCAACTTATGTCTCAGGATGAAGGCCACAGTGGCAGTGCCCCTCAGATCTTTGCAATTTAAAGCTCTGAGTGACACTGCAATTGTTAGGAACAGGCGTGTAGCTTACCATCAGGCGCACAACTTGTTCGTCCCGTCACTTGATATTATAAAAAAAAACTTTATAAAAAATCACAGTTTTTTTCTTTTTCATAAAGCTGAAAATAATATTTAATAACAAACCCCAGAATTTAATTGTCAATTACATCATATTTATCATTGAATTACTCTTTCATGGCTACGCCTTGTTTATCACGCTGTTAAGAAATATTTTTTTCAATAATACATTATGACATTTTGTTTCTTGGTTATTAATAATGATTTCCTAGCTAATGTATTTTGTTTAAGTAAAGACTGTAACCTTATCAAGTTTTGTGTATAAGTTATGTTATTATTTCAACGTTTTTGTATAACTATTCGTTGTTATATAAATAACTATTCAAGTTAGCTATGCAATTCTCACTTAGCTCAATGTTTCTGTCAGCAATAAAAATAGTCGATATCTCTTCTAGACGAGTGACTACGGAATATTAGTACAATATTAATGTCAATTAGACTGTCGCATAGACGTGGTAAGGCTTTACAAGGTTGTACTGCAACGTGCTTTCTCGCTTGAGTGGTTTTACACCTGTAGACTTGTGGACTCGTAATAGTATCTCAATGGAAAATATACGTAATCATGTATTACGAAATTGTATGTTATTATAATGTATATGTATAGTTCAAGTTATTCAAATAGTAATTGTAAAATGTTATCTTTTTAAGACACGTGTAGTACATATCTCGAAAAATGAATCATTTCGTTTCATGTGTCGAGGATATTACACCGTAACTAGATATTATGCATTTGTGTATTTGATAATATGCAGGAGTGCCATTGTTTTACTACGAATACGATTCCATCATTATTTACAATATAAATTATGTGTTTACAACGCCCTTTGTCCATTGGATTCTGGAGCGTATGTTAGTACATAGAAAAAAATATTATTAATATATCTAACCACATCATTAAGGACTGAACTGAATGTTCTAGAAATTAAAATCGTTCGCCTTCGTTAGTCACTTATCGAAAGGAATTTGTCAATCATCGTTGTTTCCGGTAGGATGCAAGCGATAATTCATCGTTTACGAATTAAACGGGAATCGTAAACATATTTTGAAAACTGACTGACATCCTCAATTCCTCACATATTTTCAACTTTGCAAAGTCAGTCAGAGTTATATATATAAACCAGTATTACTTATTTAATTATTACCTGCGAGTGTTGCAACCGATTAATTTTTATGGCACATTCAACATGATGAAACTGAAAATTACCGCGTAATAAACGTATCGATCATCTATGAAAATTGAGAATACATGCGGAAGCTGTCTGATATCTTTGCTGTGACGGGTACTGTTTTGTTCCTATTGCTCTATCTATAAGCGACTTTGTTCGAATACATAACATACACCTTTGAGCAACAATCCGTACCTTTCCCAAGCTTTACATGGAGTTTCGAACAATAGAACAAAGAATTGACGTCTCACTCGAAACGCAACTCTTCGTCGAGTGTCGATAAATTAAACATCATTGTTTCTGTTCTTAGATTGCCATCGACCTTCTCGCCGCTCTCGCATTACGCATCTGGTAATGGGTCACGTTTTATCGAGCGCGTTTAACGGTTCAAAGTTGAATAAGCGATTATTATTATTGGATTCACGTACGTCCCCTTGACTTCTTTGTTTTGATGCTGAGTTCAATGTTCTTAAATGTGCCCTTCTCTTAATTCCAGGATACGACACGCCTCACCTTCTGCCTTAGCCTGTGGTTATCACTGCCAACTATTCCGCCCTAGGGAACGCTTAATGCAGCCATGCTAGACAAGATCAACACTAGTTATAAGAACCACGCTCAAGCTCGTAGAAAGATTGAAAACCGCTGGCGTACGTGACATCTGAAAACTATGAGCCAGTCTCAAGACGATGGCCGAGCGGCCAGGGTGGCCAAGTATAAAGAGGAGAGAAGAAAGCAGCTTATGGCTAGGACAGCGACGTTGTTTTCGTCTAACGTCACTGATAGGTGAGTAGCCTGTTTTTATTGCCTAAATGATAAAGTACACTAGACTTCAGCTAGCACACTTGCATAAACACGTTGTAAACTGAGAAAAGGTTACTAAAAAGACATGCCTGCAAGAGTCGTGATAACTGATACGCATTTTAGGCTTAAAGGTAAATTTTTGAATTTTCGTAGATTATTTTCTTTTAATTTCGTATAACTTTTTAAAAGTCAGATTGGATCTTGATTTTCTTATTTTTATGAATTCCAGGCGAGGCCGCAAAGCTGTGGAACGCACCTCTCCAGTGGACACCGTCGCCGATCTAAAGTCTTCGTCCGAGCTCAACCTCAACACCGCTTCAACGTCAGTGCCTATTAGGACTACACGAACTTCTAGACTAAGAGCTGCTGCTGCCAACCACTCGGATTCATCTCTTGCCCTTAGAAAATCAAACATAAGCTCTTCAGTTCAGTCTTTAGAAGATGATAAGACCTATAAACCCAAAAGCTCCAAGGTCTTAGATAGGGATAAGACAAAGTCGGTCACAAATCGAAAACAAAGTCATGAGAAAGAAAATCTGAAGAGTGTGTCGACGACGTGCTTCCCTGAAAAGGAGTATGGTGCTATTAGATCGAAACCTAAACATTCCATTAATAAAAACATTTTAGAAAAAGACAAAACTAATTTTTTAGTTAGTACTAAGGGGAAAGTCGACGAGAAGTCAAGTTCCAAATTAGACGTAATAAAGCTGACAAATTCTCCGAAGATAGCTAACAGTGTGAAGGAGGAGGAAAGGCCTTTGATATCAGATAGTAGTGAAGAGTTGTTCAATGAGATTTTAGGAGACAAATGTAATTCTGGTAGTTTAGAGACTGAGACATTTGAAGATTTGTTTAAGGATGTGGTTGCTGATAGCGATTTCTTAAAAAATTACGTTCCAATTGAGACTGTTCCTGACAACGTAAAGCTCAATCATAGTCACAAAGATTACATTCCCGATGAAGATGTAGATGTTAACAAAGTTATTGTGAAAAATAGTGAAGTGCCAAAAGTTGTGAAGAGCGAAGAAGGGAGTGGGTTACTAGGGGTCGTGTGCGTGCCTAAAGTGGAGAGGTTCAGTGAATTGCTCAGTAACCTTTGTTCTCCGCGTGAAGCTGATATTTTGTTTGAAGATGTCCTCGCCGAGATTAGACAGATCGATGATGCGGTAAGATTCTTATTTTTTACCCATTAAGATAGTATTATAGTGGTTTTTTATTATCTCGTTACCTTGGGAAATGGACATCAAATTCATATAGGTCAACTGAAAGTTAACATTAAAATCTTGATACATTCAAGGTGACCTTACAAGAAGTGCCATTTGTATAAAATTTCCCAAAAATTGTACTCCTAAGTACAGACTAATAATTTTCCCTTAATATTTTTGTGGTCATTACTTATTTAATTCGGTGGCTATGCGACCGAAGAGGTTGTTACATTAATCAAATGCGGATTTGTATCATCGGAGATATCATTTAAATTGACTTACTTAATTGACGAGTTCTCATAAACCTCATTCAACAAATTAAATTGTGTATAGTTAAGATTACTGAATCAATAGTGTTTTATTAATTGACGCATTAAAATGATGAATGTAACCCACAATGTTACGTCTTTGATCTCTGATGGATTGATGATGAATATGAACGTATACATCTAAAATTTGTATTCGGTAATAAAATACATTATTCCTTTCATTGAAATACCTATATATATATATATATATATATATATATATATATCTAAACATTTCCTCTTTTTTTTATTAAAAAAATAAGTGCGCATTTGACCTCCATCACAACTGATAGAAAGTGACGATGAGATCGACGATGGAGCAATATTTTTTTATTTGTTTTGTGAGATCGATAGTATTTATTCAGTGCCAAAATTAAAAAACAATTTTTTTTATTATATCCATTTATTTTTGGGTGTATCTCTAAAAATGGTTTTTTATTTTTTTTTTACTTTTCATTCATTGTGTTTTACCAGTTTAAACTTAAAATAATAACATATAACAATATTTTATTATATAACATAACAATATTTTTTGTACTCAAACCAATATCCTCGATTTTTTGAATTTTCCTATCTTTAAAACGTTCGTCAATGACGATAAAACTTAGTATTTAGTTCTATTTTACCACTTGGCAAGTTTTGAGTGCTATTAGAATAAACAAAAACATTTTTTTGTGTTCAAGGCTCTTTTATTTTAATTTTAATTGGTGAATAAAACAACAGTTTTCCGGAACAATTTACAATAAATTGTGTATATTTAATTGACTAGCAACTGTACTTTCTCTCCTAGTATAATCGCTAACATAACTGCTTTCATTGGCTGTAGTGCACAAGGTTATCAAGGTGAGGGATTATCGCGTATGGTCTTACAACTTGTTTAGTACTTGTGTGCTGATAATGGACATGAAGTTTAATTTTTGTTATCAGAACTAAACATCAGAGATATTAACGATTGCAGTTAGTGTCAGGGAGATGCTTTACTTGTGAAGTTGCTTCTAGTTAACATGCACTACAATAGGAGTCAAATTGACTGCCGTGCCAGCTACTTACAAATTCAAATTTCCAATTAAATTATACATATTCGACTTAAATAACAATAATAAAAGTAGTAAGTAATAGCATATACATTATAGAGATGCACACGTGTGACGTCAGAAATGAGTACCTTTTGCCCTTTCTTACTCCCGCTATCTGAATGTCAAATAAAGAAGTCTAATTTTGATTTTGTTTTCAAATATGTTCACCAATTTAAATTCATAGTTTTAGCTTACGCACTTTTTTAATGGCTCATTTAGTAGCAGTAAAGCTCCTTCAAAAGCATTCCTGGGAAAAAAAAATCGCTAGCTATTGTGTGTTCTGCCATACTTGGGAATCAATAATAATAAACATAGCTGATACCGTTACATACATGTAGTAATATGATGAAATTCATTAAAATTATTGCTACCTCATTACTATTGTTGCTGCAATCGTTTTGCTTGGTAGGCACAAATATACAACATATTGTTTGACTAATAGTAAAAGTAAAAGTAATAGTGAAATTCTTTGACTTTGAATTAGTATGGATGTATGGCACATTTATTATTGTAATATACTAACTACACTGCGATTTGTTTTACATATTCATATTTATTTTATTTTACGTGTATGGTACAAACTTACGACTGTTATACTGCCCTCGGAACGAAAAAGGCACAACTGCTGCGTAAAGTACGCATAGTTGCGCCTTTTTTCGTTACGAGGCCAGTATAGATACATACATGTGATACTCTGAAAGGGCGTAGAAAAACTACACTTACAATTTAAATAATATAGATAACATATTCTTGTTTTTAATATTTATTATTAATATACATTATTCATATATTTATATGTTAACATAAATTATAATTTTACAAAATATTAACAATTAGTGATACATAGTCTGCTATTCATAATATACCGGGTGGAAATTTGTAATGCCACCTGAAGGGAAAGTACTCTAAATACTGGAGATAGAAATTTTTACTTAAAGGAAACATTCCTTTATTTTTTAAAAGAAATAAAACTGCATTCATAGATTTTCGAAAATTTCTAGCAAGACGCGGGAATCGAACCCGCTTTAATCTGAAAAAAATACACCCTGCACTTTTATTGCATCGATCGATAGGGTTAATTATAGGAATAAAATCTCTCACAAAATTGGTTAATTAAATGAAAAAAAACCATGAAATCTTAACGTATTTTAATAAAACGAAAAAAATTGTAATATAACTAATTAGTTGCTCGAAATGAGCTCCATTTTGAAATGAAACATTCCATATTTAAATTACCTCATGCTACTGACCAAAGAGTCTGCATAACAAAAAAAACGTGCAAATTGCAATCTTCTTATCTAAATAGTACTTCGTCATTTTAATGGATAAATGACGTCAACGATAATTAACAAGTAATCTGATGGACCTTTGAGTAAAAGTGCTTTAACTTGACCCATTGAATTTATAACTCGCGATTTCATGGTTTGTAAGAGAGATTTCATCCTCATAATTGACCCTATCGATTGATTTAATAAAAGTGCAGGGTGCATTTTTTTGAAGATTTTAGCGGGTTCGATTCCCGCGTGTGGCTAGCAATTTTGGAAAATCTTTGAATGCAGTATTATATTTCTTTTTAAAAATAAAGGAATGTTTCCTTTATTTAAGTAAAAATTTCTATCTCCAGTATTTAACGTACTTTCCTTCCAAGTGGCATTACAAATTTCCACCCTGTATATAACCATTAACTAAGTACTTGCAGTGGCAGTGTCTCAGACAGTCTGAAACTACATAGAAGCCGTTAAATATCGTAAATATAAAAAGTTTTGACTTTAGGGCTACTAAGCACATTTTAAGAGCTCTTAAATGTTATACTATTTCAATACAAAAAAATGAAGCAATGTATAATGCGTCTCCGTTTTTCCGTATAAATTGCATTTTTGAGTAGTTTGGGATCACATTTTTTTGCAGTTAAGTCTGTGTTTTACCGGAGGTGCGATAATATATAAAGGGACTAGCGATTTTGAAACCACCAGCTTACTTTATTATACAGCAAAGCTAACATAAGCTTTCATTCGGATAAGATGATGTCCTTAGCCTTAATTGTAGAATTAGTCATGTTTATGGCAATCAAGTAGCTGTACTGCCCTCCATGTCATAACTATCGCATTTGCATTTCGATGAGTTTTTGAGATTTTTTTTATCACATCAAGTGACGGGACGAACAAGTCGTGCGCCTGGTGGTAAATTCACGCCTGTCCATAACAATTGCAGTGCCAGGTGCTGAGGGGCACTGCCACTGCGCCCGACACCCTGAGACATAAGTTGACAAGTCCCATGTGCCCATAATTTCACCAGCACCCTTACCCTTCAAACCCGGAACACAGTAATGTTTACATTACTGCTTGGCGGCAGAAATAGGTAAGGTGGCAGTACTTCCCTGAACTAACTCTTTCACAAGGAGCTGTACTGCCACTGATTGGTACCTAAAGATTTTTTCTTTAAAAATGTATGTTGGTTTGTCTTAACAATAAAACTGAAAGTAAATAAAATACAAAAAACCGCTTATAGGGGGTTGTAGATCTTGTTTTGTTGATTCCAGACGGCCTACCACAACCTCTTAAAACAATATTACTTTAACTTTACGTTGACTTTTCGTACCATGATGCGCTTAAAGTAAGCTTATTATAATTTTAAAACTATTTTTTTTTATAACGCACACACTCAACATAGGGAAACCTTGTGTCGCGGGTGCCATAGACAAGCACAAATTACACCCAAACTCACGAGAGAAATAATTGTACCATACAACTATTTCTCCCGGCCCGGGAATCGAACTTGGGACCTCTGCGTGGAAGTTCGGCATGGTAACCGTTCGGCCACGGAGGCAGTTATACTATGATGTTTTATTGGCATCTTTGTGACTATTCATTCACTCAGTTCGTACTATACATAAATCTCTTCAATATTTTGTTTATTTTTTTATTTAATAGTACACACGCCAGCACAACAAGCCATACATTGACGTATCTTGTTCCGTTGCACTGGAGGCGATTTTCGTACAAAAAGGTGTAGTCTGGTGTGCCGTTGTCCGTACATTGGAAATCATTTCTCGGTAAATAAAAATATGCGATGTTGACACCAGACTATAATTCCAAATACACAACGTGACTATCAAGCCTTAGATTGTTTTATTTATTTTTTTCATGAAAATGAGGAAAAATAATTGATAACAACGTAATTTGAACAGATTTTATTATTACATACGTTTCTTTTTTTAAAAGTTAAAATTCTCTGAATGTAAATTTTATAACATTAAGTACTTAAACATATACTGCGATAAGACGTTTCGGAACATCAAAAAATAAATATATATATAATAGTTCATATAGCGTTATTCCTTTCCTATTTTTAGTAAGAAATAGACAATATTGGGAAATCATTCGTACTTTTAATCACTTTAGCTATAATACATTACTTGGTTGACAGGTTTGTTATGGTACGAATATGAGTAATATTATAATAAGCTTACTTTAAGCTTACATTGAAATAAGATGAAGAAGAAGAAAGGTTATGGTATGCCCCCAGATATGTTACTAACTCAATTTCGCTGAAAATATCGAATACGTTATAGTAAGGA